TATATATATATATATATATAGATAGATAGATAGATAGATAGATATAGATAGATATAATTTTATCTTTATTTGGAGGGACCGCCGTACATAAAGCAAACAGAACGTGTACTTAAATTCCGTTTAAATGAACATCTGCTGCAGTATGTCAGGAATCAAGAACGCCAATACTTATTAACAATAAAACTCTGTTGGACAAATGGTAAGATGTTTGATTTTTGCCACCAAATATTATTCGTAAAGTTCTGTCAAATATTGACTTAGATATGTGGGAGTCTTTTCATATCATTAAAAACAAAAATCAATAAAATTTATCTCACTCTGCTGCTGCCAATTTATTAGATATTTTGCAGTCACTTATTGTTTTTATAAGATTTCAGCTATGAGTTTTTACTTACGTTTTTGTTTTTGCTCCTGTTAATGTATGTTTTCCTCACTTTGTCAGTGTAACATATCAATTTGGATTGTTTTACTGATTCCTGTTGCTTCTATTCCCGTTATTTTCTTTTTCTGTTGATTATGTACCATGTGACACCGTTACAAGTCTGGATTCATCATGAATCAGTAAGACGTCGGAAAGTTATGTCGATTTTTTTTAACATTGAATTCAGACTTATAAGTTCCAATCAAGTTTATATGTTTAATAAATAACGTAAAAACTCTCGTGATCAAAACCCTTTTGTCAATTAATTTAACAAGTTTTCAATGGCGAATCGATAATAAAACATTTTATATTTTAGGCAAATACATGGAAATGATGATCAGACTTGAATCATGTTTTTAATTTTTTGCCACTTCGAAAGTCCTGTATTTATTGAAATAACTAGACATAAAGAGAAATTTAAAGGTTACATGTTAGGCAAGTATTGAGAGTGGTACCACACCTTTAACCCCAATACATTAAATTTTATCTGCGTTAGTCTTCTTGATCAGTTCGAGTCGGAAAGTCAACAATAAACAATCTATGTTATAAGGTATAGATTATTTGCAAAAATAATTAATCTATGATAATAAACAATCTACTGGCGCTATACAAGGCATGCCAAATTTTATTTCAGAATTGTAAATCATTTACAAATGGTTTTAATGCATGGAGCTTGGTTTACGATTTCACCATTATTGGTGTTAAGATTTGACATTTTAAATATACATGAAAGTTTAATATGATCTTAACTTGAAATAGAATGTTCCGTAACATAATCGAATCGACAGAAAGGATTCTGTCGATTCAGTCCGAATTCAAAGAGATACTTCGTCGCAGTTTTTACTGCATACAGTGAATTATCTCCCCAAATTTGAAGGACAACTCAAAAAAATTGTGTTAAGGAACACTTTAGGTAAATACCATAGTGACTGTTTAGATATACTTTAAAACTATAACTAAATCTAAACAACAATAATAGATTATGCTTATATCGAGCTCACGCTCTTTCATACCGTATGTAAATCATTTCCACTTCCAGAAACACCAATTTTGGGGTAGTTACGTTATCGTCTCTAAATAGCTTACAATCGATTAGAAAATTATTTTAATGCAATGGGGATAATTATATTTGCATTTTAAATATCTGTTAATTGTATTAAATAGTTTTATAATATTCAATTTTTATACACTTGCACTTTGTTAAGCCTAATTCGTTAAGCCTAGTTCGAATTTGTCTCTATATTATCCTTATTAAGCGTATGTTTGAATTACGAACTAATTTTATTTTGAGAATTAAGGTGCACCCTTAGCTAACTATTCTTATATTTTATATTGCATTGTAAATATATCTTTATAGTCTTATGTCATCTTAAACTTAGTGCTACTGAGCGGCAAAAATGGTGGCAACTGCTTTAAACTAAACGGATTGCAGTGAAATATCCACCAAGAACAGTCCTTGATGTTTGAATAGACCATGAATTATCTCTGATATCTCTTTACATTATGTTTGGTGTCAAATAGTTGCCACCAGTTTTATGATACAATACAATTTTCGAGTTGCAAAATATCTAATGCTTAAAAATTACAAGAACATTACTTACACGTTATTCATTGATTTTGTTCCATAGATAAAGTAAGAAGGACCATCAAACACACCTTCATAACTTGACACTAGAGTATCTTCATTTTCTAAAGCTTTCCTGATTGCTTTAATATTTGACGAATAGCTAATACTACCATCGGAATTTTGCTTCAGGTATTTGGAGATATTCTCATCTGATGTTTTAACGTGTGGTTTCTATAAATAATTAAAATTTCCTCACTGTGCTTTAAAGGGTCAAAGAGGAGAAAAATACATTTTCTTTAAATTTATATTTCTTTAATTAAAAGTACATTCATGTAAAATACTACCATCGGAATACTACCGATGAATTTACAGAACGGAATACTACCGATATAGAATACTGCCCTCGGAATTTTACTTCAGGTATTTGGAGTTTATCTCCTCTGATGTTTTGATGTGTGGTTTCTATAAGTAATTAAAAATTCCTCACTGTGCTCTAGAGGTCCGAAGAGAAGAAAAATACATTTTCTTCAAATTTATATTTCTTTAATGAAAAGTACATTCATGTAAAATACTACCATCGGAATACTACCGATGAATCTACGGAACGGAATACTATCGATGCAGAATACTGCCATCGGAATTTTGCTTTTGATATTTGAAATTTTCGTCGTCTGTTTTTTTTTTATTAATTGGCTTAAATTAAGTAAAGTAGTTAAAAATTCCTCACAGTACTTTAAAAGTTTGAAGGACAGAAAAATAAATTTTTTTTAAAGTTTTATTTCTTTAATTAAGAGTACATCCATCTTTTTTCTTTAATTTAAACATATCTACGAGGGTCCTACCCTCCTCCCACCACTTGCTCCATTCCCCGTGATTGCAAACTCCTACAATATAATTGTCAAAACCAAAAAAGTACGAAAAATTTCACAGGAAAATAACTTATGTTTCGAACAAATTAGAATTTCGATCAAATCTCGGGTTATAGTTTGATTTGTGCCTCGTTTATTAAAAATGGCCTTTTTCAGCTCGTCAAATTTGTATTTTTTATTTGGATTTTTTTTTGTAGCTGCTGAGTGGATTTCATTGCAATTTAAGACAAATTAAAGGATAATTAATACTCGAACTAAAAATTGAAAGTTATTATTTTATTCAACCATACTTCCTACCGTCCTTCCTATTTCATTCAATCGTACATCCCGCTCTATCCCCCGAACCATCACGGTTCGTACTTCCTGAACCGCGATGGCTCGGGGTTGGAGAGTTAATCTTCCAATGATATGAACCGGGTTCGAATCCAAGAGATGGCTGGTCGATACGAATCCGCATCCGGTTTGCACCGACCACAGTACTGGCGCGAAATATCCTCAGTGGAAGACGGACCATGGGTTTGTGTCCCTTTGTCGTAAGGCTGACCGTGGGAGGATCTCGTGGTCTCACTCTCCGTGTAACACAAATGCTGGGTATTTCCATCAAAAAATCCACCACGAAGACTGATTTCTCCCAATACTTGATCCAGAAGTTCCCTTGTCTTCTGGATTGGGTTCAAAAACACAAGGCTACGGAGTTGACAATTAGTTATCGTAAAACTGAATTCTCGGGTCTACTGTTCAACGACGGTTATAAAATAAAATGAAACCCTGCCGATTGAATTCTGAAATAAGAAATCTAAATGCATATTTGTTTTACGGCCCCTGCAAGGTTCAGGTTGACGAAATGTAACAGGTATCGATTAAAAAATTGTTAACCGTTAGCCACTTTTTTCCTCGAAAATGCATCTCATTTGAATTTTAGAAGTAGTTTTTTTTAATAAAAATGGAATTATAATGAATATTTTATAACATATCAAAAATTACTTTATCTCACGATTGTTTCTGAAAAGTTTTTCTTACTTTGGAAATGAAATTTACAATATATTTTAAGAAATACATGAAAAGAAATGTCTTACATTAATCAACAATGCCTATATGCAGTTTTCTTAAACGTTTATGAAAAAAGTGTTCACTGCTATATCCTGTATATGCTAAAACTGAACATTGACTAGTTGTAAAATTTCCTAATTTTGTCCTATACGGAACTGCTATAGTGTCGAAGATATTGCCAGCAATGTATGTTATGACTCTCACGAAAATCTTCCTTCCAGACATATTTGAGCTTTGAAAAGAGCCAGCAAAAAGGTGCAAAACATGCTTGTACGTTTCTCAGAAATATGGACAACCAACACAATCTTTCAACACAGATATAAAACAATCTTGTACAGCAAAACTGTTTAGTTTACTATAAGTTAGTTTTTAAAGGGGAAATGTTAATTCCTTTTTGAATGGTAATTCCTTTTTAAAAAACAAAAACTTCACTATAATCATAAATAAAGAGTTGTAAAAGTCTTCAAAAAATCAGGCTAATATAATCATTAATTAAAAAGCAGCAAAAAAAAAACAGCATCGGTCGCCATAGCAACGCATGCATTGACGAAGTATGCGCACTGTTTACTATTACTCTTGAAAACAGTTAAAAAGTGTGATGACATCCAAATAAAGGCCTGTTTACACGGTCCAAGTTCTTGAATCCAAGAAATTGGAGGGATTTCTCTGTCCAAGAAATTGGATGATTCGTCAACACTATCCAAGTTCCTGAATGTCACTGATTCGTAGAAAGAAAAACTTGCGCATGCGCATTGTTCATATTCAGCATTATAAAATAATACTTACATACGTTTAAAATTAATAAATAAATTCAAATGAAATCATAATAACACAAATAAACCGCAACAGATCAATTTATTTGAACTAAAATATATGAAAACAGACAACAAAATAACATAATTTGCTGCCTGCTTGTTGACGTCACAAAACCTAAGACGCTGATTGGTTAAGTGAGAAAAAACTTGGATGGAAAGTGGAACATGTTCTACTAACGTCCAAGTAGTCGGACCAAGTACTTGCATGCTTGTTTACACAATCCAAGCTCAAAGCAAAACAAGTTTCCATCCACATCAATCAATCTCTGTCCAAGAAGTTGGATCAACTTATAAAGCCTTAACAGGCCTTAAGGTGCGCAAGCAATCAAACCCAAAATAAGCACCCATTTTGCCAATGGGTAATAAGCAATGAAATATCACAGTTCCACAGTTAAATCAACGGGAAAAAATGCATCCCCGACGAAATTTTGCTACATCTATACTACCATATAGTTAATCGTTGAATACGCAGCCAGATGGTTATCAGTTCAATTCAGCTTTATAAGTTGTATTTAATAATAATAACTTACTGTTTCATCTGGAACTCGTTCATACACAAACTCACTGAAGAACTTCACGGCCTCTTGTTTTGTAGAAACTTTAGGCATGTTCAAGATAGCTTGTTCGTGTAATGAAAATGCCAACCTTATGAAATTAAAAGTATCTTTATGTACTAAAACACCAACATCTTCGATAATTATTTTATCAACTTTCGCCGGCTGAAAAAAAATAATATTGTCAGTTGAAATCTGTGGGAGTCACAAGAAGTTAAAGGGATTTGTAAAAGAAATTTTGATATCAATCTGAAATTTTTAAATTTTGAAGAATTAGGATGTATGTTAAATTATGAAATAAACCTTGTATGTTTATCTATTAATTCGATTATGTGTAGTGTCTTATTATTATGTAGTTTAGAAAATAAAAAAAGTAGTAACACAAGCTATTCATTATTACAGGGTTGTCACAGGTGACTAAATTGCGACTATTTGCAACTATTTTCGACCTGAGGCAACTATGGCAACTCTTTTTAGCCTGAAAAGGCTAAAAAAGCAACTATTTTCTGGAAAGGGAGACTTTTCTGTCCTCCTAGCAATTTTTTTGTAACATAAATTGAGTTGACAATCTGCGGCCCGTGGTAGCTTCTGAACATAATGAATTTTTTTTCTTAAAAAATAAAAAAATATTCAATTAAAAATTTTAGTCATCACTTTTTAATGCTCTCAATTTGCACAGATTCCATTATGAATCTATTTGTTTCTCAATCGACTTTTCAACAGTTATTGCTACGAAATTCTGCATGATTTTAAAGAACCTAATTTTTAATACGATATTATGATGCGTGAATTTCGAATTTTAGTAATCACTTTTCAATATATGTAGTACATAAATATTTGCTAAATCAATTATTGATAAAAGGGAAAACTTTTTGGAAAGAGTATGTTTTTTTTAACACAAAATGTTTTTCTAAATTAATTCTAGCATTTAATTTTCTGCAAATATACTAATTTTTTTTACACAAAAATTTAGTGCTAGAACACTACTGTTTATTTAAAAATTATCATATTGACTATCAACTTGACTTAATGGATCATGTTCTTTTTGATCTTTTTGTTCTTATTTAATCAACTATTTTCATAATTTTAGGCCACTATTTTCATGCTTTAAGCTTAAACAACTATTTTGTTCATTTTTTCTGTGGCAACTCTGTTATTAGGACTTATGTTGCAGAAATAAGATCATTCTGTGTTAATCGTAATATATTAATAATATAAATATCGGATCGGAAATCACAATGCTTTTTTAAAAGCTGAAAAGATAAGCAGCACATCCATATGAATAAGCAAATTTGTCCAACCTTTATTTTCACATAGGTATTTTTTATTAATGGACAATAATATTTATTAATGGACAATACAAAGTCATACAGTGGCGAGAACAAAAATAAACAAATAAATAGCCGTACTGGAAAATAACTTTAAATTATAGATACAAACATATATTTGGAAAATCAATACCTTTATTACTTTAACTAATTTTATGTTGATGACAAACAAAAAACAAAACAAAAAACAATATGAACATGTGGGAAAATGAGGAAATACTGTTTTTCATAAATATATGGGTGATTCTTCGGAAACATGACAATTCAGAACAAAAAATTTCTTCAAGTTCTTCAAAATGATCTTTATTTTTTTGTGTATTTATTTAGTTGCATTTATTATTATCTTACAGACAGCAGTGTTGTTTATTGACTTTTGCTCAAGAAAAATAAAATAAAATAGAAATTCACCAAATTTTGAATGCCAGTAAAATGACATATTAGCCTAGAATTTAAGGAAACAGTCATTTTAAGCTAATAGTAAGTAACTCAACTTAAGACTTTGCGTTAGATGAACCATGAATTGCTTAAATTAACTCTCTTATCCACTGTAGAAGGAATCAAAAATGCTTTTGTTGCTGATATGTACAGAATAAAATTGTGTATAATAATCAATCATTAAATTAAAAAAAAATGATTTATTACATTCAAACATATTACAATCTTACATAAACTTGGAACTAAGTTATTATTTGCTTTCTCTCTTAACATTATACTGTTTAAAAAAAAGTTCTGGTAACTGGTATTCATAAGCCAGGAAAATGACAATTTGCCATCATATAGCATTTAACTTTAATTTAAAATTCCGGCCAAAGATGATTACATTCCACAGAAAACAACAGGATTTCTTGAAATAACTCAAGTAAATCTATGTAGTTTATGTTATTAATGATTTCAAGAAGACAGGAAAATGACAACATAAAAACCTACTCACCTTGTAAAATTTTTTGAAATAGGTTTTGAACCAGAAAGTTGGTTTTTTATTCATGCAATAAAACATGTTCAGATAGGATGGTATTCTAATCTATCTATTAACATATGATATTGATTGCTGGCTCTACCTATTTTGGTTATAAATCGCTAAATAAAAGTAGCCTGGAAAATGACAGATTTTCTTGTGATAAACAAATTATTGACAAAAATAAATATTTTCAACAATGGTTTTGTAAATAATACCCTCTGCATATATTCTAAAAATGCTTACAACGATTGAGATAAAAAAATTAGATATTGAGAAATTTATGGGAAGTTTTGAAGCTAGTTATTATTGGAAACATTTTTTATGACATACCAGGAAAATGGCAGTTTGAAGTTCAATTAAATTTTTTAAATATACAAAACAGCCAATGCTAGTACAAGGTAATTTTAAAATACTAACAGCAATGCTAGTTATTAAAACTTTTAAAAAAAAGTTCTTTTAGTAGTATAGTATTAGATCTTGGAGCAAGAGACTGNCCAAGAGATGGCTGGTCGATACGAATCCGCATCCGGCTTGCACCGACCACAGTACTGGCGTGAAATATCCTCAGTGGAAGACGGATCATGAGTTTGTGTCCCTTTGTCGTAAGGCTAACCGTGGGAGGATCTCGTGGTCTCACTCTCCGTGTAACACAAATGCTGGTTAGCTCCATCAAAAAATTCACCACGAAGGCTGATTTCTCCCAATACTTGATCCAGGAGTTCCCTTGTCTTCTGGATTGGGTTCAAAAACACAAAGCTACGGAGTTGACAATTAGTTATCGTAAAACTAAATTCTTGGGTCTACTGTTCAACGACGGTTATAAAATAAAATGAAACCTTGCCGATTGAATTCTGAAATAAGAAATCTAAATGCATATTTGTTTTATGGCCCCTGCAAGCTTCAGGATGACGAAATGTAACAGGTATCGATTAAAAAATTGTTAACCGTTAGCCACTTTTTTCCTCGAAAATGCATCTCATTTGAATTTTAGAAGTAGTTTAATTTTTAATAAAAATGGAATTATAAGGAATATTTTATAACATACCGAAAATTACTTTATCTCACGATTGTTTCTGAAAAGTTTTTCTTACTTTAGAAATGAAATTTATAATATATTTTAAGAAATACATGAAAAGAAATGTCTTACATTAATCAACAATGCCTATATGCAGTTTTCTTAAACGTTTATGAAAGAAGTGTTCACTGCTATATCCTGTATATTCTAAAACTGAACATTGACTAGTTGTAAAATTTCCTAATTTTGTCCTATACGGAACTGCTATAGCGTCGAAAATATTGTCAGCAATATATGTTATGACTCTCACGAAAATTTTCCTTCCAGACATATTTGAGCTTTGAAAAGAGCCAGCAAAATGATGCAAAACATGCTTGTATATTTCTCAGAAATATGGACAACCAACACAATTCAACACAGATATAAAAAAATTTTGTAAAGCAAAACTGTTTAGTTTTCTATAAGTTAGTTTTTTAAGGGGAAATGTTTAAATTCTTTTTTGAATGTTAATTCCTTTTCAAAAAACAAAAAACAAAATTTTACACATTAGAAAAATGGCCGTTGTCCCAGGTTTTGTCCTTATACATTTGACTCGATTAACTTCACTATAATCATAAATAAAGAGTTGTAAAAGTCTATAAAAAATCATGCTAATATAATCATTAATTAAAAAGCAGCACCAAAAAACAGCAGCGGTCACCATAGCAACGCATGCAATGACGAAGTATACTCAATGTTTACTATTACTCTTGAGCACAGTTGAAAAGTGTGATGACGTCCAAATAAGGTGCGCAAGCCATCAAACCCAAAATAAACACCCATTTTGCCAATGGGTAATAAGCAATGAAATATCACAGTTGCACAGTGAAATCAACGGGAAAAAATGCATCCCCGCCGAAATTTTGCTACATTTGTACTACCATATAGTTAATCGTTGAATACGCGGCCAGCTGGTTATCAGTTCAATTCAGCTTTATAAGTTTAATGTAATAATAATAACTTACTGTTTCATCTGGAACTCGTTCATACACAAACTCACTGAAGAACTTCACGGCCTCTTGTTTTGTAGAAACTTTAGGCATGTTCAAGATAGCTTGTTCGTGTAATGAAAATGCCAACCTTATGAAGTTAAAAGTATCTTTATGTACTAAAATACCAACATCTTCGATAATTATTTTATCAACTTTCGCCGGCTGAAAAAAAATTAATATTGTCAGTTGAAATCTGTGGGAGTCACAAAAAGTCACAAACTTTGATATCAATCTGAAATTTTTAAATTTTGAAGAATTAGGATGTATGCTAAATTATGAAATAAACCTTGTATGTTTAACTATTAATTCGATTATGTGCAGTGTCCTATTATTATGTAGTTTCGAAAATAAAAAAAGTAATAACACAAGCTCTTCATTATTACAGGGTTGTCAGAGGTGACTAAAATGCAACTATTTGCAACTATTTTCGACCTGAGACAACTATGGCAACCTTTTTTAACCTTAAACGGCTGAAAAAGCAACTATTTTCAGGAAAGGGAGACTTTTCTGTTCTCCTAGCGATGTTTTTTTTAAACATGAATTGGGTTGACAACCTGCGACCCGTGGTAGCTTCTGAACAAAATGATTTTTTTTCTTAAGAAATAAAAAAAAACTCAATTTAAATTTGAGTCATCACTTTTTAATGCTCTCAATTTGCACAGATTCCATTATGAATCTATTTTGTTTCTCAATCGCCTTTTCAACAAAACACAAAATTATTTTTCTGAATTAATTCTGGTATTTAGTTTTCTGCAAATATAAAAAAAAAATTTTACATAAAAATTTAGTGCTAGAGCACTAATGTTTATTTAAAAATTATCATATTGATCATCAACTTGACTTAATGGATCATGGTATATTACAATGAAGTCATTTAATAAAATTTTAGTTATATTATGGAAAAATTTTTGTTCTTATTAAGGCAACTATTTTCATAATTTTAGGCGACTATTTTCATGCTTTAAGCTAAAGCAACTATTTTGTTCATTTTTTTCTGTGGCAACCCTGTTATTAGGACTTATGTTGCAGAAATAAGATCATTCTGTGTTAATCATAATATATTAATAATATAAATATTGGATCGGAGATCACAATGCTTTCGTAAAAGCTAAAAAGATAAGTAGCACATCCATATGAATAAGCAAATTTGTCCAACCTTTATTTTCACATAGGTATTTTTTATTAATGGACAATATTATATATTAATGGACAGTAAAAAGTCATACAGTGGCGAGAACAAAAATAAACAAATAAATAGCCGTACAGGAAAAAAACTTTAAATTAGATATACAAACGTATTTGTAGAAAATCCATACCTTTATTACTTTAACTAATTTTATGCTGATGACAAAAAAAACGATATGAACATGTGAGAAAATGAGGAAATATTGTTTTTCATAAATATATGGGTGATTCTTCGGAAACATTACAGTTCGGAACAAAAACTTCCTTCAAATTTAAAGTCTTCAAAATAATCTAAATTTTTTTGTGTAAATATTTAGTTGCATTTATTATTATCTTACAAACAGCAGTTTAGTTTATTGACTTTTGCTCAAAAAAAAATAAAATAAAAGGGAAATTCACCAAATTTTAAATGCCAGTAAAATGACATATTAGCCTAGAATTTAAGGAAACAGTCATTTTAAGCTAATAGTAAATAGCTCAACTTAAGACTTTGCGTTAGATGAACCATGAATTGCTTAAATTAATTCTCTTATTCACTGTAGAAGGAATGAAAAATGTTTTTGTTGCTGATATGTACAGAATAAAATTGTGTGTAATAATCAATCATTAAATTTTAAAAAAATGATTTATTACATTCAAACATATTACAATCTTACATAAACTTGGTATTGGGTTATTATTTGCTTTCTCTCTTAACATTATACTGTTTAAAAACAATTCTGGTAAATGGTATTCATGAGCCAGGAAAATGGCAATTTGCCATTATATAGCATTTAACTTTACTTTAATTTAATATTTCGGTCTAAGATGTTTACATTCCGCAGAAAACAACAGGATTTCTTGAAATAACTCAAGTAAATCTATGTAGTTTATGTTATCAATGATTTCAAGAAGACAGGAAAATGACAACATAAAAACCTACTCACCTTGTAAAATTTTTTGAGATGGATTTTGAACCTGAAAATTGGTTTTTTATTCATGCAATAAGACATGTTCAGATAGGAGGGTATTCTAATCTATCTATTAAAATAAGAGATTGATTGCTGGCTCTATCAATTTTGGTTAGAAATCACTAAATAAAAGTAGCCAGGAAAATGACAGATTTTCTTGTGATAAACAAATTATTGACAGAAAAAATTATTTTCAACAAAGTTTTTGTAAATAATACCCTCTGTATATATTCTAGAAATGCTTGCAACGATTGAGATAAAAAAAAATTAGATATTGAGAAATTTATTGGAAGTTTTGAAACTAGTTATTATTGGAAATATTGTTTGTGACATACCAGGAAAAGGGCATTTTGAAATTCAGTTAAATTTTTTAAATATACAAAACAGTCAATGCTAGTACAAGGTAATTTTAAAATACTAACAGCAATACTATTTATTAAAACTTTTTAAAAAAAAGTTATTTTAGTAGTATAGTATTAGATCTTGGAACAAGAGACTGTCAATTGTCATATTTCTTGAGAATCACCCATATATCATATTAATGATTTAAATACGGATTGTTTATGATAAAACTGTTATATAGTAGAATATATAGGTGCATGGTTGAAGTCCTAGTTGGAGTAACTCTCCTTCGGCGAAATCCAACCGTTCTTGTAGCGTCGCTTGTTTCACAGTCTAATTTAAATAACTCGTGAGATTGTCCAATGAGAGTTACATTTTTTTTAACAGTCAATTATTGAATTAGCCAAAATAAATGCTGCACATTTTTTTGTTCTTTCGGTAACTGAGGATCCGGAGCTACCCTTTAACTTCCAGAAGAATGGAACGATTGACTGTATTTCCTTTTTGTTGCCCTTTTCATTAGAATCGGTGATGCATTACTTCAAGACTTTACAAGAGAAACTTCGAATGATCTCAGCAATGTTATGTGTATGGACTAATATACTTAAGAACAATCCACAATTAAGTACCTTACAACACTTTTCTAAAAGTTTCTCCTAGCCTAACATGTAACTGCTGCTCCGTCTTGCAACTCTTAAAGAAAATGGTTATTTGATACATTCGATTTGAATAGCTGACCTTCTAAAGTTATAATTTAGCGTCTTGTGATATTTTTGTTTATTTCTGTACTATTATACCTATAATGAACGATGATTATGTTTATAGTTTGAATGAATGAAATACTTCTCCACCTGTGATTAATTCTAAAGTCGTGTTTTCTCTTGCTTCATTCGAATAAAAATTCGTATTAATATTAATTTATAGTAAAAAGTTGAAGAATTTGCTTGTGTATGTGTCTCCCTTATAACTCTAGATCTATTTGTTCCATCGTCCTTGAATTTAGACAGTGGGTAAATGAGGAAAATTCAGTCTCCGATTCTAAAAATCGCTTAAAACTTTCAATTCGATCGTTCAGCCCAGGGCTCGCCCAAGTTTTCATGGTTTCTCGCCCAGGAACAATGTTTTCATCGGTTACATTAGGACCCATAATCCTCATAGAACAATCCCTGACGTCTGTAAGCTACTTGAACATAGTTGCAGACCAGGTTCACCTATTCATGGCAACAGTTTTTCCTGCGGGGGATGGTGTTTACCAACAGGATAATGCACCATGCCGTAAGGGTCGAATCGTCGGGGAACATTCCAGCGACTTTCAAGTCATGTCTTGGCCCCCAAATTCACCTGACCTTAATCCAATAGAGCATTTGTGGTCCTACATGGAAAACCAAATTTGTGCTACCACGCTACCCCCTTACAATGTGAGGGAATTGCAGGACCAGTTGGTAAGCGCTTGATATCAGATACCTCAGACTACCTATCAGCACCTTGTGGAATCAATGCAACGGCAAGTGCCAGCAGTTTTGAGGGCTAAGGTGGTCCTACTTGTTATTAGCTGGGTGTTTATAATGTAATGGCTCTTCGGTGTATATATATATATGAATGATAGTTTTGTTAGTTTTGTAGTGGGCAATACTTACTATTTTTAAAGCTGTCTTCATGGTTGTTATCCCTCCCATACTATGCCCAACAATTGTGACTTTCTCAGCTGCTATTTGTTCTATAAAATGTACGAGATCCACTGCATTTAAATCAAAATTGAATTCCTCGCTCCAGTCACTGTCGCCATGGTTTCTGGCATCTACTGCATATACCTGTAAATTTCAACACACTATCAGTTCATTTCACAATTAAATACAATAAAATTGCTTGAATATTAACTTTAATTTTTTTAGAAGTGTTCTGATGCACGTAGTGTTCTGTAAGTCTTGAATTTGTGTTCCGCCCTTGGGTAAATTTAAATAAGAAAACCAAATGGCAAATTAATGATGGCATTTAAATAAGAAAACAAAATGGCACTCCAAAACATTTCACCTCAAAATAAGAACTCAAAGGCAGATAGCGATATAAAATAAGAACCTTTTACTCTGAGTTTTACGAATCTTTTTCTAAGTGTACTGCACACTTAAAAGGGATAGAATAACAACTATTACAACGGCTGTTCCATTGTCAGCATAAAAAAGTATCAGGGGGATTCTCTTTCGAGGTGGAGTGTCGTTCAAATGGTACGATATTGTTTAAGTTAAGAGTGTATAGAATCTACAAGATACAATGCAATCTACGGGATACAATCCCAACAATATACCATGTTCTTCAGCGACGGTGAGCTGCAAAAATAACTATTGGATGATCAATTTATTTCTTACATTATGTATAGAATTAAAAATATTGGAATTAAAAAAACTCATTTTTATTAATCTTCGGCTATTTGTTAATTGTTTCTTTAGAAGCTTGGATATTTTTGCAGATGTTTAAGAAAATAAACTTAAAGCAAAAATCTAATTCTCTTCGCAGAACCTAATGTAAATTATGCATAAAATTAAAATATTGTAATTTCTTTCTATTATAAATAAATATTGATTAATAAGCAAACTTTAAAGCTTTTCTTACAATGAAGTATTTCCTTTCGGTTTGTTTGTTTAACTTAGTTCCCAATCAATAAATAAACTTAGTTCCCAAGTATACCAGTTATATTTCTGTTTTTTCAGACTTGGTTTTTGGCACGTCTTAATTAACACCTTCTCAATTGGTAACGACACTAAAGTTATGCTATACCATGTATGGTAATAATTCTATGCTAACAGCTATGGCAACAATGCCGTAAATGTATGCAATGCAAGCGTCATTTAACTTTACATTCAACTTTACCCCATGTTTTATAAATGATTTATGACGTCAATTATGCAGTCATAAATCATCACCTCAAAATTATATATTTTGAGGTGATGATTTACCTTTGGTGACGAGGATTTATGACGTTCAATTCTGTGTTTGCGTCTATCAATGTCCAACTCTGAAGCCTTGAATTTTTAACCCAACGAAGAAGGAAAGGGAACTCCTGGCTCAATTGTTAGGACAAACTTGCCGTTATATTTTGATGGAACTTTCGACGTTACATTGAGAGGAAAAACTTCCAAGGCTAGAACGATGGTAAGGGTATTCAAACTCATGGTCAGTCTACTACTTAAGATATTTTACTTCAGCACGGTTGTCGGTGCGAGTCAGGAGCAGATTAAAACTGGCCGTCATCAACTAGCCGCAGCTGGGTTTCGAATCTGGGACACCTCACTGGGGGGCGCATGCTCTATCTCCTGAGCCACAGCGGCTCTGTGGGTTTTAGTTGTGAGAATATAAGATTACTAAACAAAAATGTGTAATATTTTTTTTTCCAATGAGCTGCACAATCGGTCTTGCCGATGAGCAGACCTAGTGCGTTCTCCAGAGGTGGCATTCACTCTTTCAGGACCACCACAATGGGTGAGATACCGTTGGTCATGTTAATTTGGACGTCTAGTTTCTGCCACACTGGATGGCAGCACCGAGACTCTATTTGGATGCCAAAGTGAACTAGGAATTTAATTTTGCCCGAAATGCAAAATGTGCAATATTGATCCATCAATTCCAATCTTCCTCTCTTTGAAATTTAAATTGTCACCTTTCATTTCAAAGTTTAGAAAGGTGAAAATGTGTGATTCAACGATGTTTACGATGATGTTGGTAGTATATTTCATTTCGTTTTTTCAAGTGAATTCTGATTACTGATGTTTAAAGGTAAAATTTCCTTGCCAGGTATGCCTATACTAGTAGGTACTTTTATTTATATCGCAGTAGAGCTTCACTGTGGACTAGTGGTGACGATCTGAGAAATATCCCTGGTGTTGATCCGAAGTCATGCCATCACAATTTTTATAGGGGGTTACACTCACAAAGGGGATGGCTCCCTCGTTTTGGTAGTTCGACGACCTGAGTCGAGTACTTTACGGTAGAACAGTTTAACGAGGAATGATACCCCGCAAACTTCGGTCCCTACGCAGACTGATCAAAGCGGTCATCCGCCCGTTTACTGACCGCAGCCAGTGATGTTTGACTTCGCTTTTCAACTGGGAACCGTATCTTTACGATCAGACCCCTGCAGGACATTTTCTATACTGGCGCATTTTCTATTTTAAGTTGTCGGAAGTTCTTGACCCCGAAAGATTAAAAAAGAAATTATCGAAACTTCTAAAGAATGATAAAAAGTTGAACATATTAAAAAAAAAAATTTACAAAATGTGTGGCAACTTCGAAATGTTTTTAAAAATATTTTGTTGTTAGAAAGGTAATATTTTATTTCCAATTTTTTAATTCCGAAATCAATTATATATTTTGTCTGCTGTATTTATTTCCAAGGAATAGGCCGATATGCGTAAGTTACTTTTCATCATCAGTATATGGTTAGCACCATCCACCCTTATACATGAATGCAGTTGGATTTAAAGGCTTCTCTTCACGCTTGTTGCTTTGCAATCCTGCTTCCGAACATACATTAATTTCAATGATTGAATATGCAATTTCATATTTCAAAATGATAACAAACAGTGGTGGACACCATATTGAGCACTTTTCCTAAGCTTGATTTTCTGCAACAACAAAAAAATATGCTTTCTAAGTTTTCAAACATTTAACATACCCTTCTATTAGTGGCTTCAGCTACTTTTTGTGGAATATCATTCCAGTGTTCTTTACAGCCTGCTAAACCATGCAAAAATATTATGGGATTATTCCTATCGACATCCTGGCTAGCTTCAAATACTTTGAAAGCTAATCTAACCGGCTTGCAGCTAGAAAAAAAGCAATGTTAACTTTGAAACGTATTTTCTTTCAATCTATATTAATAAAACAGAATGTTAATATTCACGAATTACACGAATCAGGTAGAAACAGTTGAAAATTAAAAACGTTGCTGGATATAATATATACTTACAATTCGTCTACCTATATAAATTAAGCAAAATGTTTAGCTGTATGTGCACAGTGGGTAAAATAAAAAACCCGAAGTAACTTATGATCTCATAATCGGATCTTCACGCTCCAGGACTTAATCTTAAAAGTTCAAGGGGATGACTTTAAATTTTCTAATTAATTAGTGTAGACGATATTTTTAGTTACGAAATGAGATACAAAGAAGTACTTCCTCTGAAGAAACATACCTTCTTATCTAAGGATTTGGATTTTTGGTGCATAAATCTGGGAAATACTGTCTCTATAGTTTGGTCAGGAGAGCACTCCAAAGTTTAAATTGTAAGGTATACAATTTTTGCATCATTTTAAAGAATGCAATTTTTAATGTCAAAACACAAAATTTGAAGGAAATCGGTCGAATTTTTTCTGAGAAATTGAATTTTGAAAACGCTGTATTTTTAAAATTCGATTTCTCAGGGATTATTGGAGAGATTTTGAACATATTTTGTATTTTATCATGTAAAAATACATTCTTTAAAATGATGTGAAAAATTATGTGTATTAAAGTATTTAATATCACATTTAATTTAGCATTATTGTCGTTAATAATAATTTTACGATTGCTTAAGGCATTCGAAATACTCAATAGTAATATTATTTTTTTCACCATGAATGATTATAAAAATATTAGGTGGTTACTAATTATTTTCGAAAATTGGAATTAAATAGTTTTGGTAATAAACACAAATTGAAATAAAATAAAGTTTTGTATTACAATGCTAAATCAATGGAGTAAAGGTACTTTTTCGCCCATATAAACCGTAAAAAATTGATTTGACCCTAATTGATACTAATAAAAAGGAATGCTTATTCATCTATCAAAACAATTGAAAATCGCCATATTTACCCCAATGTAGGAATTAATCTTAGTTACTACCACTTAGGTACTACTACTTAGGTTAATCTTAGGTACTACTACTAAAATATTAATTATTGTTTTTTTTAACAAATTTAAGCTGTTCTATGATCGGTATGAAGATACTTCTGTGGAAATAGATTTTTTCGGCTCACGGAAAGGGATATGTAAAAAAGAAAAATGTTATTTTTATTAAGGCGACTGCCTGGGTACGATGAAAATTTTTTTAAAAATTAAATTTTTTTAAAACATATGTGTTATTGGTTCAAGTGTGTCATAAAATGATATAAACAAGAAGAAATATTTTTGAATATCACATAGTTTTTAAAATATTTGAAAAATTAAGCCTAAAATGAGTGAAATTTAGAGCTTACGCCAGACACCATACACTTAATTTAAATGAATAAAATACAGTTTATTTTTCTGTACAGATTATTTTGACCCTTATCTGTGTTCTGAACTAAAGGTTTATGAAAATTTTAAAAATTACTCAAGTTAAGTGCTAAAATCTAGAAAAACAGCAATTTTTTCATTTTTTTAAATAGTTTTTTATGTTTATATACCTGTAACATGACCAAATATTTAAATTGAAACTTAGTTTTAGTTCAAAACACAGTATATATAGTTTATAACATTGTTGCCAAATTTCATAAGAAAACTCCCTTTAGTTTTGGAGTATGAGTGTCTGGCGTGAATCAAAATATTGAAAAATACAGTTTTTCAGATTGACCGGTTAAAATTGACACCAAGCAACAGCATTATGCCTAATGATACTGAATCTAATTATCTTTACTTTGAAGGAAAGAGCTTCTAAAAACATAATTTTATATAACATAAAACCTTACGGAAGAACAAAAATAAGAGATAGGTACTGGAAAAATTTGTTGATTGAGGTAATTTTTGACTTATCAGGAGTTGACCTCGAACAATAACATTATTCTAAACTATACTGAATATATCTAATCTTTATTTTGAAAGAATGAACTTCTAAAAACATGTTTTGCTTAGCCTCTTAACATAAAGCAACCGGGAAGGGCAACAAATGATAAAAATGAGAAAAGGAATTGTTTTACCTTAACTAATAATGACGGTATGTGTATTTCAGTTTTGGAGCATGATTTTGTAGTTATGATTAATTCAAATTTATTAATCATTTATTTTTTCCCATCCTCTACGAAGAAAGGATATTTAGTTAATTTCGTATAAAGTTTTATGTAATTCAATTAATTTTACATAAGTCAGTTAATTTTTTATCCTTCCTTGTAGCTTCATGTTATCAGGTTAACTTTGTTGAGAAAATAATCTTTATGTGAACTTTCCGTCTAAAATATTTTCTGAAGGTCTTTTCCTTTATTTTTATTATTTCATTACATAATATTTTCAATCTACAATTTATTTAAAATAGTTATTTTCAGATTTATTTGCTCTTATTTTAATTTGATATTTTAATAACTTTAAATATAATTACTCTGTACATTTTGGTTTCAATTTAATGTTTTAGGATAGGTGGGGAGACAATAAAATTCAAATCATTTCAAATCACTTAACTAGACCTAGTATATATTTCGGACATTTACCAAAGGTCTAGTAATACTAGATCTAGTTAAGTGCCACTGCCCGGTATACATTTGCCCGGTATATCCTATACTGATGTTTTTTTAAGGTTCAGTGCCAGTGCCCGGTATACATTTGCCCCGTATACCCTACACTGATATTTTTTAAGGTCAAGTGCCATTGCCCGGTATATCCTACACTGATGTTTTTTTAAGGTTCAGTGCCACTGCCCGGTATACATTTGCCCGGTATACCCTACACTGATATTTTTTTGAGGTCAAGTGCCATTGCCCGGTATATCCTACACTGATATTTTTTTTAAGGTTCAGTGCCACTGTCCGGTATACATTTGCCCGGTATACCCTACACTGATATTTTTTTAAGGTCAAGTGCCATTGCCAGGTATATATTTACCCGATACTCCAAACACTGATTTTTCTTCTAATCTATCGTCTGTAAGTATTAAAATATCGAATAAATGTAATTATATCCACGAATAAATTAATATGTTTAGNTTAGGTAAATAAATGTCGGTTCTTTGACTACCCGATGTTTACATCTAAAGTGGAAACTCAAGTCGAAAAATCATTTGATAGCTTCATCTATTAAATGCTCTGTTCATTATCTCATCCAAAAGAAAATAAAGTAAAAAATGAATTACATCACGATAAGATTATACTCTTCAAAAATGTATTTCCTGCTTTAAAACAATGTTTCATATTGTTAGTAGAAAGCAAAATTGTGCTCAAATGAATTCACTTTCGCATGAAGAATAAAAATACAAATATTTAAACCATGGTTTATTTTTGTAAAATTTGTTATTTTTTGGCAATTTAAATTATTGATTTTTAATTTTAGCCAGTTAAAATTAGATTTTTAAAATTATGCTAGTTTTAGACATTTCCAGATTCTGAGTGTAAATTTAACGTTAATAGCTTTAAATATGATTTTTTATTCGCTTTCACAATGGGTTGAATGTTGATCTCCATAGCCTATGAATATTTATCTGAATTGCTTTGTAATTTTGAACTAAACCTAAAAGACAAGGGAACTCTTTTAAAAGTTAAAACAAAGTAACCATGGAGGAAGGAACTAACTCGCATTTTCTTTATATGGATGGGAAATTGACGAATACATCTCTCGTTTAGCCCGACAGAAAGGGGGTTAACTCCTGATTCTTCTGCTATTGGGGATATTGTGTTTCGTGCAAACCGGTAACAGAAATCGCATCGACTATCTGTCACTGGGACTGGAATCTGGGTCGTCTCGATGGAAAACTAGCGGTTTATCCCCTAATCGATTCCGTTCAAGTTATAAAATTTTATTTAATCTTGTAACTGACGTTGAACAACTGACCCACCTTTAGTTTTACAGCTCAATGTTTCACTCAGCAGTCTTGTAATTTTGAAACCAACCCAAGCTTTCAGCTAACTTCTGAATCAAGCATTGGAACTAACTAGTCTCTGTGGAAGATTCTTTCAGAGAACGGATTAGCATTGGCGTTACACGAGAATTAAAACCTCGAAAACTTTTGAAGTGATGCCCGACGTAAAGGGGATTTAACTTATGATCCGTTTATCACTGGGAATGTTTTATTTCAGCACTGTGGTCCTTGCGAGCTGAGAGTAGAATTTGCATCGATCAGCCATTGCTGGGATTCGAACTAAGTCACTTCACTGGGAGGTGAGTACTATATCCGCTAAACAAATTTGAAATCAACGATTGGAAAATATTCAAGATGTAATAAAAAGCCTGTTTACACTGTCTAAGTTCTTAAATCCGAGAAATTGGAGGAATTTCTCTCTTCAAGAAATTGGATGATTCGTCGACACTATTCAAGTTCTTGAATGTCATTGATTGGTAAGAAGAGAAACTCGCGCATGCGCATTGTTCACATTCAACATTATAAAATCAAACTTACATGAATTTAAAATTACTAAATATATTCAGACAAAATTATAGTAACACAAATAGACCATGACAGATTAATTTATTAGGACTAAAATATATGAAAACAGATAACAAAATGACATAATCTGATGCCTGCTTGTTGACGTCACAAAATATAAGAAGCTGATTGGTTAAGGGACATAAAACTTGGATGGAAAGTAGAACATGCTCTACTATCGTTCAAGGACTCGGACTAAGCACTGGATGATTGTTTACACAATCCAAGCTCAAAGCAAAACAAGTTTCCATCAATTTCAATCAATCTTCGTCCAAGAGCTTGGACCACGTAAGCAGACCTAAAAATCTCATGCTTAGGGGGGGGGGATTTTTCCCCATTTTTATTAATCGATTCATTATATAAAACAGATAATATATATAGATTATGGTTTAATTGATTTTTATTTACGGAAATTTCATTTGGGACTAACTTATTGAATGTCCTAATATTTCCAAATTTAA